ATGTGTATAAGAGACAGGGGGTGGATTCATCCCTTTAAACCGTTTTTTTAGCACCAACTGATAACTTCTAAATTCATTTATTTATGTGACCTCAAAATGTACCAAGTTTCATTAAAATCAGAATTTGACACTTCGCGAGGTTCCCTTGTGAGTATAAATTTTAAAATTCATAACGGATTGATTCGATATAAAAGATATATCAATATGTATATCTATTCATGTGCATACGAATATTTTTGTAAGATTATCATAACATTTTTTTTTTATAATAGCTATATTAAAGAAAGGAAACAACGAGTTTGTAGAAATAATAAAGGAATTAAAACCAATCCGCAAGGAAGCGTTACTCAGATGTGCAGTTACATGGAACACAAACAGCCGGAATTCGCATGCTGCGCAGGTATGATATAAAATTTTATAATTTACTTTAAAAATTGAACTATTTTTTGATAATTGTACAGAATATCTCTCAAATCTGTTCACATTATCTGTATTTTCGAAATAACCAAAAATATGAAGAAATGTTAAAATACTTATTCTTTTTCTTTGAAAGGTTAATTTTTTTATCAAAAAAAATTTTTCCTTAGTTCTTCAAAAAAAGTGATAAGGAAAGGACAATTAAAAAATTTTTAGGGATTGAGTGATACCTTATTCAAAAGTTTATTAAAAAAAAATTTTGCAAGTTCGGATTTGCTGCATTGTTTTCTGTTCAAAATGCAGGTGGTGATCAAATTTTAAAATCTACTTCCTCTAAGAATTAGATAAAAATAGAGAATCAAATCAAGATTAAAAATATAAATTTATGTTAATAGAAATAGATATAATGTTCTATTCAACATTGTTTTTGGATATAATTCTCTTTAAAGGGTTTTAATAAGTAAAGAGTGTCCCAAAAAATCGCCTCAATTTTGAGACTGAACTGTGTGCCAAATGATCCTTATAACGAAACATTAATTATAGAGATTCAAGTTGAGGTGACAATTGTTATCAGAGCTGGAGGAAGGGTAGAGGGGGGAGGGAGGGAATAAAATCAAAGTTCATCATGGAATTATTACAGGTCCGGTATTTTTAAGAAGATTGATCCAGCTGATGATCGTAGTTTTACGTAAATGACACTCGTTTTGGATGTAAAAAAATCGAGTTTTCGTGTAAAGAGACGTAATAAGTGACTCCTCTCCAGCTGTGATAACAATTGTCACCTCAACCTGAAACTTCTCTGTGATTAATATATCATTATGAGATATTCTTTGGCACACAGTCCAGTCCCAAAATCGAGGGTCCAAAAAACGGACGAAAAAACCACCTTTTTTTGGGTTACTCTTTATCTTTGTGTTACTCGCAGAATTTATTAAAACTAGTATACTTGTAGAGCGGTAATAAATAATAGACATGTATCTTTTTTATATTGGCAGTGGTGCAACTTAAGAATGAACTCTTGTTTTTCGTTGGTTATTCCTAGATTCGGCAAAGAGTGATGTAAGATTGTTTTTATCTATCTGGTGGTCATATTGATCCGCCATTTTGATTTTTACATTGGATTTGCTTTTAGCAACATAAAAATTTCTTATCATCTCTAAAACACAAAAATAACTCTAATACCGTCAATTTTGTAACGTGTTAATTATTTGTGCTTATACATATAAACGTTTATAATTTTCATTCTTAAAGTTGCATTGTCGAAAAAAAGATACATATGTCTATTATTTTTGATCGCTGTGCAAGCGTACTAAATTATAAATCTGGTGAATAATACAAACGTAGGCTTATACTTGCAAGTTTTTTAAAGAAATTTAATATATTTAGTCTCCCTTACTTTTTTAAGGAGGATAAACGGATTAGAATTTTTTATTATTGAAAGTTAAAACTAAGTAACTGTTTTTTAGAGATTTTTAAAGGAACATGTGTTTCTACATTTTTAACTGTTCTAAAAATACAGAGAATGCGAACAGGCTTTAGAGATATTCTTTATAATGAAAATTTAATAATTTATTTAGAATTTTTTTACAAAATTTCCGATATATTGAAGGAAATATATTTAGAAACAAATCTTTGAATACTCTTTTTTAATATTGTTATTATTTCTAGATGGTTATAAATGCCTTAATAATAGACATTGGGACGCAAGAGCTGCAGACATCAGATTTAGCTTCCACTCTGGAAGTTATGATACCTTATACCGATAGACACTTTAAAAGATTAACGAAACTTTTGCAGAATCTTCATCTATTAACATATACTTTTAATCGTATGAAACCTGATATTATATCAATTAATACTAAATAAGTTACACATACTATTAATATTACATTACACACATTGTACGTATATTATATATACATGTAAAATATGTGTGTATGTTTGTAATATACTGTGTAATATATTACAAATTATTATTTTATATAATATATACATATATATATTATATAAATTGTACAAATTTATATTTTTTATATTTTTGTTTTTATGTCATAAATAAATGTTAAATCATTATCTGTGTTTTATATTACAAATTACATTTTAAAATAGATTTTGCTTTCGCGGTAAATTGCGTGATAATATGATAATGCTACGTGAATGCTACAAGAGTATATGCAATCATGCAGCGATAAAGCTTACAAGTTCATGAGGTGTTCACAGAGATAAGAGAGAAATTTCATTACACAGAAATATGAATCATGGACCGTTATATAGAACTTGTAGCATCTTTTCACAACGCAAGTAAATGTTTGTAAATAAATGTGTATTCATCTATATCTGTATACATATACTATATATATTTATAAAGATGAATTCCGAGAAGTCAGCCAAGTCATTTAATCATATCTGATATTAAAATCACGCGTTGAATTGCGTTAAACGATCGTGTGTAAATTACATTATGGATGGGTGCGAGGATCTACATTGTAAGTCTTAGACATATAATGAATGTGTGCATTGATGTCACAGGTTGCTGCACGAGAGTACATGTGTATTGCGTGTGTGCGTGTGTGTGTGTGAGTTCAAGCAGGTCTGGAGGAGCACCATGAGAGAGTGGGAGCGAGCTTTGGTCTGACTGTCTGGTTTTCAGTAAATTTGCTCGCCGGCCCGACCGCATTCACGGATCACAAGGAAGAATCAGTCGGAATCTATTAGTGGTGCTGTTAAGTGACAGAAAGGTACTTGAGAATGATTCCCGGAGAAAGAGTCTTCGTCCTGATTTTCCTCGTTTATCTATCGGGAATGCAATTATTTACGGACGCAACTAAAGTGTAAGCCTCACAATTAATTCGATTACTAACGATATAGAAAAAAGAAGGAAAGGATAAAGAAAAAAAAATATATAACGCTAACTCAGTTAAAAAACAAGTGCGTGACTTACAATAATACATAGACTATTTCTTACAGACAGAACGCAAAAAAGATAAAGACAGATGCGTGCCTCAATATATAAAACATTTAATATTATAAAATTATAAAAATGATATTGTAACATTATGCAAAGTGCATGTCTCAATATTGCACATAATTTAGATTTGGATATAAAAATGTAGTACTAAAAATGCTTTACCTGTTTTCATTTAAATGTTCATCAGCATGAAACTCTCATTTTTGTCGTGAAAGACGATCGAGTGCGGAGCGGTTCTCTCAATAATGTCATACGTTAGTGGTTTTTACGAGGTATATACTTCCATAAATTTTGCAAAACCGCGCGTGGCATTGCTTTTGTCGTTATCCTTTATTGCTGAAGAATACCGCGGAATAATGAAAAAAAAAAAAAATGAAAATGCATTAATGCCAACACGTTCAATCTTTATCCTCATTTCTCGTCCGCAAATAATATATATCTTTTTACGTAAGCTGGGCGTATGCGTTTGCGCGTCCGATCGTAAGAAAACGTGGTCGCGCGTCGTAAGGTAAAATTCGCTCGATTTTACTGTTTTCAACCTTGCAAAATTTTATAGTTGCTTTCGAACTTATTAGTGCATAACATTTGACCTTCGGGTCCTCATAAATGCGATCGATCGGCCGGTCGTCGTTAACGAATTGGAGTGATTCGCAAGTTATACTGGAGAGCGCATTTACTGAAAAGTCGCATTTTTTGCACGGTGAAAAAATCCCCGCTCTTTTCGACGAGGCAAAAAGCGAGACAAGCTTCAACAAAAGCCGTTTTAACGAAATGCTCGCGGCCGAACTATTGCTCGTTTTCGTGCGTTTGCGAGTGAGCTTGTGTCTTTCGATGGTAAACAAGTATCGAATTCACACCTGTCCAAATACCGGTATTCAAATTTAATTTTTGCTTTTTATCGCGCTCTTCTGTCGCGCGCGCGCACACATGTGCATTTGATCATCACACACTCGCGTGCTTAAATATCATAACTTGATGTTTATTCTATAAATATCTCAATTATCATTTGACAATATAAGGAAAATCAATTGAATACAGATCCAAAGGAATCGGCGTGTATATTAGGAAATGCAGAATGCAAAATATATGTATGTGCCTACCGGAGGGTTAGTTTTTTCATAACTAAATTAAATTAAAGTTAAAGAATTATAAAATTAATTTATGCGTTAAAAGTTACACAAATCGAAAAACTATCTTAAGTTTAAAGTTAACGTTAATTTAAAAATTAATTTTAAAAAATATTAGACACCATTAAGATCCTCTTTTATTCGCGAGTATGGCTCTTTTCACTTATTTGTGGTATTCTATATATTGATCGATTTTACATATTATTCTAATAAAATAATAATTTTTAGAACTATTTTATTTGAATAATTAAAATCAAAAATAGTTGCAATATACTAAATAAATAATTAAATACATAAATTTAATATTTTACTTGAAAACTAAGTTTATATGAAATAATAAAGAAGTATAATTTTCTTGAAAAAATGTGTAATTTTCTTTTAAAGTTGTTTAATATTTATGTGTATATAGACATATAATACATGGTCTGTCCCAAAAGTTTCCGAACTTTTTTCGTACGGACAGTGTTATAGTGGCATCATCAATAAGGTTGCACTATCTTCATTGAAGTTTCGTTCACAAATTCTGTAAGTTGAATTGAGGTCCCTCTAACGACTGTGTTTTATCACAAGTATAAAACCAATAATACCTTTGTGACACGCGACGAAAAATCACGATGGAGAAAAGAACAAATATTAAATTCTGTGTGAATTGAAGCGTTTGCTGGCAAGAATTGGTCGGGTTTGTTCTCAATACCAAGTGCAAGGCAGCTGGTCGCTTGCATGATAATGTTCCGGCTCACAAGTATTCGTACATAACTGTGATGTGTAAATTTTTCGCTTTCAAATCAGTCCTTGATTAACTCCTATATTCATCAGATTTGGCATTATATATGTAACAATTTTTTATTCCCGAGGCTAAAATAAAGCTGAAGGGAAAGCACTTTAACACTATTTTGGACATTCTGAGGGCTTCAATCGAGGCCATTTTGATCATTTCAAAAAAAGACTTTTAGCGGAGTTTTCTAAAGCTATATAAATGTTGTTAACAATGTTTTTCTTCGGAAGGGTGATTTCGAATGATTATAAATAAACATTTATAATTATTATCTTACAGAATGAATTTTAATAAAATTTTTGGGGCAGATCGTGTGCATATATATATATATATATATATATATATATATATATCCCTGTATATATACACATCTTATATATACATATAACAAATATTTATTTATACATATAGTATACAGAGTGTCTGGTAATAACCGCCCAAAATCTCGTGGGCTGGTAGAGCAGATTAAACTAAATCGAAAAGTCCTCTACCATTTTGCAAAATTCGCAATCGTTAACAAGATCTTAATTTTTGAAAATTGGCAAATAAGCGCGTATCCGTCCGGCCCATCGTTGAATGCAGGCGCGCAGCGGAATACGGCCGCCTTACCGCTGGCCGTTGCTAGCCCTAGGGTAGGACGGACGGATACGTGCTTATTTGCCAATCTTCAAAAATTAATATCTCGTTAACGATTGCGAATTTTGCAAAATGGTAGACTTTTCGATTCAGTTTAATCTGCTCTACCAGTCCACGAGATTTTGGGTGGTTATTACCGGACACCCTGTATATGTATATGTATATGTGTACATGTATAAATAAATATTTGTTATATATATAGAGTGTTCACAAAAAACCATTCAGCATTTATATAGTAAATAGTACCTACCTACACTGAGTAAAATATACTATACTGAGTAAAAAAACCTTAGTGAACATACGTTAACCGAAAGTTCAACCGTTTTTGAGATATGAATATTTTTGTATGCTAGCGTTTTATACGTTAGCATAAAAACGTCGCACAACAGAAATATTTTCATTAGCACGACTATACAAAAAATGCATAGGTATCTGCCATTTCCTGAAATTAATACACCAACATTTTTAGCACGATACCTCATAAATGTGTAATCACATTTACATATTATTTGGTGAAAATGTTGGCGTATTACTTTTAAGAAATGAGATACTATGCATTTTTTGTATGGTCGTGCTAATGAAACTGTTTTTGTTGCGCGACATTTTTACGTCGAATGTATCAAAATAACTGCTAACATACAAAAATGTTTATATCTCAAAAACAGTTGAGCTTTCGACCTATGTTCACCTATGTAAGGTTTCTTTACTCATGTATAGTGTGTATTATCTACCATGTAAATGCTGAATGGTTTTTTGTGAACAATTTATATAACACATACACAAAATAAAAAAATATTTACATATATATATTTAATGAAAAGAATTGTTTAATTATAATTGAACAATAAGAATTGAATAATTATACATAATGCAGAATACATGTTACAAATAATTAAATTTTAATAAAAGAATAGAATTTTAATGTCACTTTAAAATTTTTCTCACTTAATTTAAATCATTACAAATCCCTAATAAATTCTCGGTCTTTTTTATTCAAGGTAATAAAATCATATAATTGTAACGACAGTTGCGACAGACATGAAAACCGGTTGGTCTAATGTCCAAAATTTTAGATATAAAAGAGAAAAATATTTTAATTACAAAAGTTAATATGTTTAATATAACTGTAGTTGAAATTAAAAGTTAATTTATTTAAAATAAAAGTAATTATTAAAATAAACGTTAAGTTACAAATAATTTTTTAATTTTATCACTTAACTCTTAACTTTTTAATTAGTTACTATCTACTCTGTGTATACTTTGATTTAATCAATTAAGTATTTTTGTTTTTATTAATTAAAAAAATATCTTAGGTTAAAATCTATATCCAAAGGAATATTTTATAAAGGGACATCACAGTATAAATTTATCGTACGTTAATCAATTCTTCATATAATAAGTATTGAGAAAAAGCCAAAGTATTAGAAAAGGGTTATTGAAAAATGAAATATATTTTGTGAGATATTTCGATATAAAATATAAATTATTATATGAGAATAATACGTATTAATACAATAATACGTAATGGTATTGTATGTACATATGACTTGAAATAAAATCTTCGTTGTTATTGAGAATTCAAAAAATGTCTCGGACTAAAGTCTGTTTCGAGAGGAATATCTTATCGACGTTGCAGCATAATGTGTCGTCAATCGATTCTTTCAGTCGCAACTAGATATAATGCAAAAGTATTAGAGCAAGGTCATCGAAAAAGTATACATTTGATAAGACATTTTATATTTTATTTTTAAAAGAATGGAATTTTGATGTAAAATTATGAAACAGATACAAATAAAAATGGTGCTAATAAGAATCTAGCAGTGATATCAGTGCGCAGTTATATTTGATAAAAGGAATTAAATATTAAAAATACATAAAAATTATGTATTTTAGAATTATGAGTCTATTAAAAAAGTAAAATAGTAATCTTTAAAGACCGGTCTACAATTGCGTAAGCATAGTTGCAAATAGTTGTAGTTGTAAGAATAAACCAATCACAATCGAATTTAAGAAGAATATTCGACTGTAATTCGTCGGTTCTTACAACTACAATTACTTACAACAACACTTACGTAATT